CAGTGGCTCAGTGGCTAAGACGCTGAGTTTGTCGATCAGAAAGGTCGGCAGTTCGTCGGTTTGAATCCCTAGCGCTACATAACAGAGTGAGCTGCCGTTCCTTGTCCCAGTTTCTGCCAACCTAGCAGTTTGAAAGCACATAAAAAAATGAGAATAGAAAAATAGGGACCCCTTTGCTAGGAAGGGAAGAGTGTTCTGTGCGCCTTCGAAGGCGTTTAGTCATGCCGGTCACATGACCATGGAGACATCTTCGGACAGTGCTGGCTCTTCAGTTTTGTAATGGAGATGAGCACCGCCTCCTAGAACCGGAAATGAGTAACACGAATATGCAAGGGAACCTTTACCTTTAACCTGTGGTTTGATACTTTTTAAACTCACCTGGGCTTTTCCCAGTAAAGATTCGATCTCTTTGTTGTGTTCTATTGCAGTGTCGAAGGACTGAATGAAATCAGACACCAGGGGGTCCACAATCTTTTTGGTGGTCTTATACTTCTCATGGATGATCTTTAGCAAGCCACACTTCTTTACGGTGCCTACAAGGTAACAAGGATCCAAACAAAGGTTACATATTAATCCGCTCTTTAACCGAGTTTGCCACTTAGCACAAAAAGCAATGAAAGAGTCTTCTGCCGTAAGATCACCCTACTAAACAACTAATTCTCATAACACTGTCAAACAATTTACTAAGACTGTATTACTATTCTTCTTCTCATCCTTCCTATTACCTACCTCTTCCCACTTATGACTATAACCGTGTTGCTTGTATCTTTACAATTTATTTTGTTTTATACATTTCCTAATATGATGTGATTGCTTATTAGTAACCTATGACTATCACTGAGTATTGTATTCTTGATGGATGTATTTTTTCTTTATGTACACTGAGAGTTTATGCACCAAATTTCTTGTGACTAATCACACTTAGCCAATAAAGAATATTCTATTCTATTCTATTCTATTCTATTCTATTCTATTCTATTCCTAATTTTAATTCTAAGTCTAATTCTAAGGATACCACCCAAAATGTATAATGATGATGCAAATAATTATGATTTCCAAACTGTGAAGGATGAGTGCATTTAGTTCCAGTTGATTTTTATTAGGGACACTAATATTCAAGATGACTGTTACTGTGATAGACAGCCTATCTGGTAATGTGGCTAAAGACCCTGGCTAGAAACGGGGGAAGCCAACCAGGTGACTAGGGGGCCAGTCATTTTCTCTCTGCCTTAGGAAGAAGACAATGGCAAACCACTTCTGACAACTTTCCCCAGCAAAAAGTTAAAGAACCATGATGATGCAGTGGTTGGAATGCACTATTGCAGGCTGACTCTGCCGACTGCCAGCAGTTCAATTCTCAGCAGAATTGAAGTTGATTCAGCCTTCTGTTCTTCCGAGGTGGGTAAAATGAGGACTCAGATTGTTGGGGACAATAGGCTGACTCTGTACACCGCTTAGGGCTGTAGCCCTTATATACCGATTCACAGCGCTTTATAGCCCTCTCTAAGTAGTTTACCGAGCCAGTCTGCTGCCCCCAATAATCTGGGTCCTCATTTTACCCACCTTGGAAGGTTGGAAGGCTGAGTCAACCTTGAGCCTGGTGAGATTCAAACTGCCAAATTACTGGTCAGCAGAAGTAGCCTGCAGTACTGCACTATAACCACTGTGCCACCATATATATGTCAAAGTGCTATTGCTATTGTTATTGACTCAGCCTTCCATACTTCTGAGGTCAGTAAAATGAGGACCCAGATGGTTGGGGGCAAGAGACTGACTCCGTAAAACCGCTTGGAGAGGTCAGTAAAGCTATATATATAAGTCTATATACAGCTATTACTATTGAAGTAGAAACAAAGCAATGTCCATTATTTTCCGATTATTTTCCTATTTAGGCACAGCAGTGGTGCAGTAGTTAGAATGCTGGCTAATTCTGCTGTCTGCCAGCAGTTCGATCCTGATTGGCTCAAGGTTGACTCAGCTTTCCATCCTTCCCAGGTGGGTAAAACGAGGACCCAGATTGTTGGGGGCAAGAGGCTGACTCTTTGAACCGCTTGGAGAGGGCTGTAAAGCACCGTGAAGTGTAAGGGGCTATTACTATCTGCTGAACTCCACATGTGAATTCCAACCGACTTGTCAAGATGCAGAAGTGGGTTGAGAACCAAACACTTACCATTGAAAGCACCACAATGGGGGCAAGTGTTCTTCTTCCTACATTTTTCGGAGACCTTTTTCTTCAAGCCTCTTTTCTGGAGATAGGTCAAACCAGGTCTCTTCAGATAATCCAAAAATTGTTTCTGTTCCTCGGTGGTTAGTAAGATACGGCAACACGTCTTGCAAATCATCTAAAGGAGGAGGAGAAAAATCTTCAAATTTGGCTTTCCTACAGCAAAAGAAACAATTAACCTCTTGTCCCACAATAAAAACACACCTAAAACTTTGTTCAAAAGATCCTTTGCCATTCATTTTCTCAGAAAACAGCAAAAGTTCTTTAAAAACCCCACCTTATTTCTAAATACCTACACATATTTGGAGAAGACTCTAGGCTTCCTGAAGATTTAATTAATCTTAGTGAGTATTCACAATTTGCAAAATAATTTTATTTAATGTAAAACTTTCATCGACATGATGCTGTTAGGTGGATGGACGGGCAGGTAGGCAGGCAAGAAACACAGACACACACAGACAGACTGGACAGGCAGACAATAGACAGAGATGGATAGATGGATGGATGGATGGATGGATGGATGGATGGATGGATGGATAGATAGATAGATAGATAGATAGATAGATAGATAGATAGATAGATAGATAGATAGATAGATGAGATAGATGAGATAGATGATAGGTAGATCATAGATATAGATAGGTAGGTAGGTAGATATAGATTGATTAGATACATATAGATATATAGAGACAGAAACTGATAGATATAGGTGATAGATATATGATAAATTAGATATAGATATATACAGACAGACAGATAGATAGAGATAGGTAGGTAGGTAGGTAGATATAGATTGATTAGATAGATACATATAGATATATAGAGACAGAGACAGATAGATATACGTGATAGATATATGATAAATTAGATAGATAGATAGATAGATAGATAGATAGATATAGATAGATAAGATAAGATAAGATAAGATAAGATAGACAGACAGGAAGACAAGAGTGATAGAGATGGATGGATGGACAGAAGGACAGACAGACATCACATTTCTGCATCATTTTTCTGAGCAGGATCATTTCTCCTCTAATTAAAACCATATATTGCAGCTGGATCACAGTTCGGATTATACTCGGCACATACAAGAGTGTAAAGAGTGTAAACGCACCCTAAACACCCCTCATTAAAGTTACTGAATCACTTTTCAGAAGTGTAGAGTTCTAGGAAGTCGTTTCTGCTCTAACTATGCAATTGCGGAATGGGATGCAACTGCTTTAATGAGGCAGATAGACGCCTGCCTTCCTGCACAAGATGATGCACCTTTTTCCCAAACTGAATGCAAGCTCCTGTGCAGCTTGACAGCAGTTCCAACAAAAGCTGCTTCTGCTACAGCTTTTGACTTGATCTTACCTGGAGAATGCCTATCACAGCTTTGAAGTATCCCACGTGAAAACAAGGTAACTCCAGGTCAATGTAGCCATAATGCCCCAAGCATTCTGCCAGATTTTTTCCACAGGTTTTGCAGGGACGATCCTTTTCACTTGTACCCTTGAATAAAAAAATAAAAAGATGAACATTTGTCAAGGTACTATTAGATGAATCAGTCTTTTTCCCTCCAATTAACCACAAAATTTCAGAAACAGAAATAAGATACATGACCGCTCTGCAATCTTTGCATAGCCTGAGGTGGAGATATCTAAAAAAAACAACAACCAGTACTGTGTTTCCCCGAAAATAAGACTGGGTCTTATATTATTTTTTGCTCCAAAAGATGCATTAGGTCTTATTTTCTGGCTAGGTCTTATTTTCAGGGAAATACAGTACTAAACGCACCCATCTGGCTGACAATCTTAGCTGGGGCTTATTTTGGGGGGTAGGGCTTATTTACAAGCATCCTGAAAAATCATGCTAGGATTTATTTTCCAGTTAGGTGATTTTTGGGGGGGAAACACAGTATTTCTAGAATACCTCAAGTTACTCACAGCACAAAGAATTTATTTCCAACAAGTGCTTAAACTATTCTCCTGAAAACCTGGGTCTGAAGGAAAACATTTCGTTTTGCTCCAGAACAGCCCATTTCCAGATTCGCAAATCTTGCACAAATCCAAACTGAAGGATGTTTTAAGGATGGCGATAATCCCAGAAGGCAGTGCAATTGTTATAGGAATAGCAATATAATAGAACTGAATAAGGAATGGAATATGAATATAATAGAACAGAATACAATTCTTTATTAGCCAAGTGTGACTGGACACACAAGGAATTTGTCTCCAGTACAGAAACTCTCACTGCACATATAAGGAACAAGTTATAAATCATAATCATGAAATACAGTCATCATAAATCATGATATACAACACTGAACGATAATCATAGGATACTAAATAAGCAAACAACATAAATCATAACAGGATACCAAATAAAGGCAATCAACATAAATCATAATATACAAACAACCAAGTTATAAGAAACTAAAGAAATAGGCAGCAGGAAAGATGAAAAGGTGAGAAGGATATTAGGTAATAGAGCCCTACTACCGTGTTTCCACAAAATAAGACCAGGTCCTATATTAATTTTTGCTCCAAGATACATTAGGGCTTATTTTCAGGGAAATACAGTACTAAATGCGTCCTTCTGGCTGTCAATCTTAACTGAGGCTTATTTTGAGGGTAGGACTTATATTACAAGCATCCTGAACAATCATGCTAGAGCTTCTTTTCTAGTTGGGTCTTATTTTCGGAAAAACACAGTAGGTTGTTTGACATCCCAGGGCATAAGACAATGTTGTGGGAATTAGTTGTTTAGCAGAGTGATGGCATGGGGGGCAAAAACTGTCCATGTGTCTAGTTGTGCCTAGTTGTTTTGGCGTGCAATGCCTTACAGCGTCATCTTGAGAGAAGAAGTTGAAACAATTTATGTCCAGGATGTGAGGGGTCTGTAGATATACATGATGTGAGCTTGCACAGGAACAACCAATAAAGAAACTAAACTTAATATTATATCATTCGTGAAATGAAGCATCAAATACTGATTGGCTCAGCATGGCCAGGAAATACTTTAATCTCTAGAGGAATATATGAGACAAATCATATCCTTTCTGTTAGAGCTGCCACTGGGAGCTATATTGATTTCTCAGTTCCAATCAGCTGAATAATTCCTAGGTTTTAGTTTACCATTGTGTATTCTGAAACTCTTCAGATATTTACTCCTTCAACATCACTGCTGACATGCCTAAATCAGACTGAGCATCTAGAAGGCTTACCTTTGAATATGTTTTTATTGGGTTATAAAGTATTATAAAAAACAAAATACAAAAGCAAGTAAGAGGATAGGGAGAGGGAAGGGGAAAAGGCAAAGAAAAGTGAGGAAGGGTAGGGAAAGAAAAAAGAAGCATTGACACCTAGAAGGCTTACCATGCGATGGTCCAATACGCCATATTGAAGAGGAGAGTGGTTATCTTGGCTGTATAAATTTTTACTAACCACCTGGAGGTGAGCCTGTTGCCTCATTTCTTCAGGAGATTTCATCCCAAAGCAGATGTGGCTTCTAGAACAGAAAGACACCACAGAATATCATAAAGTAGAGATACAGAATAGAGATACAGAGTTAGAAGGGACCTTGGAGGTCTTCTAATCCAAACCTTTGCTCAAGCCGGAGACCCTACATCATTTCAGACAAGTGGCTGTCAAATCTCTTCTTAAAAGCTCCAGTGATGGAGCACCCACAACTTTTGGAGGCAAGTAATTCCATTGTTTTATTATTCTCACTGTCAGAAAATTTCTCCTTGGTTCTAGGTTACTTTTCTCCTTGGTTATTTCGATCTGTTGCTTCTTGTGCTGCCTTCAGTTGCTTTGAAAAATAGCTTGACTCCCTCTTCTTTGTGGCAACCCTTGAGATATTGGAAGACTCCTATCATGTTACCCCTAGTCCTTCCTTTCATTAAACTAGATATAATCAGTTCCTGCAACCGTTCTTCATATGTTTTAGCCTCTAGACTCCTCATCATCTTGGTTGCTCTTCCCCGCATTCTTTCTAGAATCTCAATATCTTTTTTACATTGTGGCGGCCAAAACTGGTCCTTGGTAATTATTTTCAACTCTCAAGCTAGTGTGGAACAAGATGCTTGCTTCCTCCACAGGCCAAAAAAATTCCAAAAACACAATGTGCAAACTTTCTAAGAGCAACTAAGATGATCAAAGACCTGGAGACTAAAACATATGAAGAACGGCTGCAGGATTTGGGTTTGGCTAGTCTAGAAAAAAGAACTAGGCTGGACAGGATAGCAGTCTTCCACTCGTTGAGGGGCTGCCCCAAAGAAGAATGGGACATCCTCCAAAGGACTTGAAGGCAGGACAAGAAGCAATGGATGGAAACTCATCAAGGAGACCTAGAAATAAGCAGAGACTTCCTAACGGTGAGGACAATTAACCAATCTCCTTCAAAGAGGGAGTACCAATCTGAACCAGTAGATTGCTGAATCTGCTCCGTGCATTTTGCACAAAGTACGTTTATGCACCCCTCTAAATCTGACAAATGTCTTTTTTTAAAAAAAAAAAAGACTAAAAATGCTCTAGCAATGCAGCTTGCAGCATTTGAAGAACACTAGAAATCCAGGCGTACACATCTGACACTTCCATTGATTATGTGCCATCAAAGCTGTTTTGGTTCCTAGCAACCCTATTGATAGATGCTATTGATTTATTACACCAATTTATTTTATTTATTATGCATTAAGCAATCCAGCAGGATACACAGGTAGTCCTCGACTTACGATGGCAACGGAGCCCAACATTTCTGCTGCAAAGCGAGACATTTGCTCAGTGTCTTTTGCCCCATTTCACGACCTGTCTTGCCCCAGTTGTTAAGTGAATCCCTGCAGCCGTTAAGTTAGTAAGGTGGCTAAGTGAATCTGTCTTTAGAAAGTCACTAAAGTCGCATGACTCTGGGACACTGCAATGGTCATAAATACGAGTCAGTTTGCCAAGCACCTGAATTTTTGATCACATGACCCTGCAATGGTCGCAAGTCTGGAATTGACTCATTGGTCAATTTTTTTCAGTGCCGTTTCTAACTTCAGTCACTAAACGACCTGTTGTAAATTGAGGACTGCAGTGCCTGTACAGCTTTGTCTACACCTGGGCATTTGTGAACTTGCATCAGACCTGCCCGGAGCACATCTGTGCACCTGTGGTGATGTTTTTGGGGTGTTCTGGGGTGTGGACTGCAAAAAGGGGAGCTGACTTAGAAACGCAAGGAGAGAAGAAGCAGCTCTTCCAGGGAAGGCCAAATCCTGGAGAGCCTTTGAGTCACTTGGGATTGTGGCGCTCAGCCTGGAAGGGTCAGTCTCCCCCTAATTACACACACCCATACAGACACAAACACACCCGCAAATGCATGGACACACGCAGACACAAACACTCACAGAAACAGAAGAGGAACACCAACACACACACACACCCCAACACAGGCAAACAAACACACATAAGAAACACCAACACACACACAAATGCACGGACACACAAATGCACACACCAACGTTCACAGAAACAGAACAGACCCGCACACACATCAACACACGAATACACACATACAGGACACACACAAGCACATGCACAAAGCCCCACCCACTCAGACACAGCCACAGCCACAACTACAGCCACCCTCCCCTCAGCCCTCTCCCGGCCTCCTCACATCTTCTTGGCCACGTCCGTCTCGCGAAACTGCTGCTTCCCCATAGCTCCTCCGGCCGGCCGGCCCGCCGCGATCAAGGCGACGGGAGGAAGAAGACAACACCACGCCGGCGGAGCAACCCTCCGCAGTGACGTCACCGGCGGAGCGACGCCGGTCGCCTCCCCCGTGACGCCAAGCGCGCCCCACGCGGGCAGCCCGGGGAAACCCCGGAAATGAGGGAGGGAGGAGGGAAGGAAGGAGTCTTTTGATTGGCAGACAGGGTGGGGGTGAGTAGGGAAAAAGAAATATGAATGGGAGTCTCTTCACTTGATTAATTGAGTGACAGATAATCAGAGAGAGTTAGGAAATGTCTGGATGGATGGGATAGATAGATAGACAGATGACGGATGAGAGAGAGAGAGAGAGACATAGATACATAGATATGATGATGAAATAAATAAATAGATATGATGATGAAGAAGAAGATATAGATTTGATAGAGATATTGACAGATAGATAAAATAGACACAGATAGATAAGAGGCAGACAATAGACAGATATATAGATACATAGATATGATGAAGAAATAGATAAATAAATAGATATAAATAGATGATTAGATAGATAGATGATAGATAGGAGATAGATAGATACAGATGGATATATACATAAAATAGATGGACAAAATACATAGATATGATGATGAAGAAATAGATAAATATGAAGAAGAGATAGATATGATGAAGATATAGATAGATTTGATAGAGATAGATAGATAGATGATGGATGATAGATAAGATAGATAAGACAGGCAGACAATAGACATAAAAATATAGATATGGTGAAATAGAGAAATAGATATGATGAAGAAGATTAGATAGAGATAGATAGATATAGATATAGTTAGATGAAGATTGATAGATATGAAGAGATATATAAATGATTGAGATAGATAGATGGATAGAGGAGTTTCTTGACTAATCGATTAATTTATGGAGGATGGATAGATATAGATCGATAGATGGTGAATAGGTGTATGATAGTTAAAAAGTATTAGATAGAAATGTAATAGATAAAAAAGACTTGACTGATAGAAATCTATAGAGATAGAAAATTTCTTGATAGAATGATGGGTGGATAATCAATAGTTTAATAGATCATCAGATACAGAGAGATGGAGGAGTCTCTTGATAGATTATAACTACAAACAGTATAACCACGCAACAATGTGATGATAGGGTAACTGTATAGAATTGGGTAGTGTAAATAAACTATGTAGGGATAGAAGTCTGTGAACAAAATAGCCAGGAAGGTGGTGGCAAACCATTACTCTCCGCAAGTGGCAGCTCCTAGTCACCTTAAGAAATTAAGTTGGAGGATGGACCTGGTTAGAACTTGGATGGGAAAGCACCAAGCTTTGATTATTGCCACAACTGAGCCCAGAATTTCTTGTTGCTGAGCAAGACAGTAGTTGAGTGAATTTTGCCCCATTTTGTGACCTCTCTTGCTGCAGTGACTCACTTAAAAATTGCAGTGATTTCATTAGCAACTGTGGTGAGGGAGGTCACAAAACGGGGCAAAATCCACTCAACTATTGTCTCGCTCAACAACAAGAAATGCTGGGCTCCGTTGTGGCCGTATGTCGAAGACTACATGTACTGATAACTTTTAAAAGTAGTGGGGGGGGGGTGTGTGTTTTGAATTCAAGTTGCAACACAGCTCCACCATTAAGACCACGATCCAGTTGCTATCCAGTTGCTGGTCATTATCCACTGAATTTGCAAACTGCTACCATCAACCCTGAAAATGTAGAACTTGCTGCACAGATATTTCATGGATTACAGGCAGATTTGGTTGGTTGGGTTATGCCTCGAATTGCATTTGCCCACCTGGCTGACAGTTGAAATGCATATGCGTCTCATTAATGTCAGATAGGAATTCCTATTTCCGTCTTTTTCCATACAAAATACAAATAGGAATTTAAATCAGAGCTCTCAAACTTGGCAACTTTAAGATAGTTTAACTTTAAACCTAGCTGGCTGGAGAATTCTGGGAGTTGAAGTCCACAAGTTTTAAAGTTGCCAAGTTTGGGGACTCCTGGTTTAAATAATCCATACGTCTTAACATTCAACCTGATAGAATCAGGAGGACTAATAAGTGGTCTCTCTTTCCCCTTCCACTCGCTGGTTTCCCGGAAGATCTTTTTCCCTCGGCTAGCGGAAATCCCGCCTTTTTCCCGTGACGGCTCTTCCTTTTCCTTCCCGCTGCGGCATATGATTGGCTACCGAACGTCCCTTCCTTCTTTTCAATCTCTCTGAGGCTGCGAGGGAGGCTGCCAAGATGGTGAGCGCTGTCGCTGGGGATTCTCGGGACCGAGGGGCTCCTTCAATCCGTCCTGCCCAGGCGCCATCCTCGGCCCTGCGGACTCCGGGCCGCCCGCTTTCCCTTCCGCGGGGGCTGCGGAGTCTTTTAGGGGGATTATGGGGTGGAGGAAAGGGGGCGAAGATGCCAACGCCGTGGGTCCCCGGTTCTCTGCGTTGGATCAGCCTCTCTCCCTCTCCTCCCGCCTGTTTTATTTATCTCAGCTGCACGAAATGGTGGGAGCTTCAACACTGGAATCTTTGAAGAAGACACTGGGCTGGCACCAGTCAGAAGTGGTGTAGGTAGGGGGTTGGGCTAGATGACCTACAAGGTCCCTTCCAACTCTCGTTAATCTGTTAATAAATAGTGCAGGGTCTCCTGCTTGGGTGGGGGTGGACTAGATGGCCTTCAGGGTTCCTTCCAACTCCTGTTAATAAATGGTGTAGGGTCTTCTGCTTGGGTAGGGGTGGACTAGATGGCCTACAAGATCCCTTCCAACTCTTGTTAATCTGTTAATAAATAGTGTAGGGTCTCCTGCTTAGGTGGGGAGGGGGGTTGGATTAGATGACCTATAAGGTCCCTGCCAACTCTGTTAATGAATGGTGTGGCGTCTCCTGCTTTGGGGGCGGGGTGTGTGTGTGTTGGACTAGATGGCCTGCAAGGTCCCTTCCAACTCTTGTTAATTTGTTAATAAATGGTGTACTGTCTCCTGCGGAGGTGGGGGGTTGGACTAGATGACCTACAAGGACCTTTCCAACTCTGTTATTTTGTTCAGTTATTCAGAAGTTGTGGGAGCTTCATCACTGGAAGCTTTCAAGAAAAGACTGGACTGCCATCTGTCAGGAATGGTGTAGGGTCTCCTGTTTGGGCAGGGAGGGTTAGATGACCTCCAGGGTACCTTCCAACTCGGTTATTCTATTATTCTGCTCTCCAGCATTGAGGGGCATCAGGTTGGGGGAACATGTTGCTCTAACATGGCTCGCTAAATTGACCCCCCCCTTTCCCCCAACTTTGCACACATCCAGAGGTTGGTAACTCTGCACATTCACCTGGAGGTTTTTTGGGGTGGTATTTGGAAAAGAGGGATTCTTTGGATTAGTTATGTGAGCACATGAAATGCCTTGTTGAATTTTTGTTTTGCTTTATTATAGAACGATACTGTCACCATCCGAACGAGGAAGTTCATGACAAACCGGCTGCTTCAGCGGAAGCAAATGGTGAGACACTTTTTTTTTCTTTTTTTTGTGGGCAAAGTTGTGAGTCTCGAGATGGAAAAACTTCACAGGCCTGCAATTATTTCATTTGCATGCCTTATAATTAATAACCTAACCTCTGTATAATCATAACCTCTGTATGGTTTACCAATTGCACAAGAGCAGATAGGAAAGCGCTCCAGAGGGTTAACATCATTGCCCAGAGGATCATTACTTGTCCTCTCCCCTCTTGGGAAGATCTTTATAGCTCCCACTGCCTTAAGAAAGTTCAAAACATTCTCAAAGATCCATCTCATCCTGGGAACCCTTTTTTTTTTTTTTTTTTGAACTATTACCATCTGGCAAACAGTACAGAATAATAAAAACAAGGACAAATAGGCTGAAAAACAGCTTCTATCCCAGGGCAGTAGCTCCATTGAATTCTTCTGTATAGTGCAGTGTTGTGGTGCGGTGTTGGGGGTTTTCGGTTCAGTGTGTGGAGGGTGAAGGATGTGTTTGTGTTTATTTTCATGGTCATGATGTGCACTGAAGATGGCATTTGATTTCGTTGTATGAGGTGCAGTGACAATAAACTAAAGTAAACTAATCACGCTGGCCAACAGTAATAGTTAAAAACGCCCGCAGTAAATATAGCTAGTCATATAATCTGGCTTTTGGAATGCTTTGATCGAAAAAGTGACATGCAAGGCTAGAGGTTCAGAAAGATTTACAATGATTTGGATGTAATTGGTTGCAATGATGGATCCTTCCCGCCAACGAATATGTTTTAATAATAAGAGAATTGGCAGACCTGTGTGTGGATTGAAGCAAAAGTTGCCGTATAAATGCACAAAAGAGGAAAGTGTGTTGCTTGCAAATTTGCTTGTTCTCATCCTTACTGGCTGTCAAACTCATCTAAATGTCCAGGGAACTGTCAGTTTTCGATGCACGGTGGTGGTGGGTAGAATGACTGCAAAATTCCAACTTTTGAAATGGTTATTTGGCAGACAGATTCAATAATATATTTAGTATTAAGACTATTAATATTCTTCTCACCTATATTCTACTGATGACTACAACTTTGTTGCTTATAGCTTTACGATTTGTATTGTTTCATTTAGTTTCGTAGTACGCTTCGTGTTGGTTCGATCATATGATTTATGATGAATGTATTTTTATGACGACTGTGATCATGATTTATCACTTTTATAGCTGTTATGTACACTGAGAGCTTCTGCAACGAAGACAAATTCCTTGTATGTCCAATCACACTGGGCCAAAAAAGAATTCTATTCTATATGGGATGTACAGTATTCCCAAAGTAAAACAACGGATATAGTCCTTAAATAGGGCATTATTATTTTTCTGTATAGGTAGTCCTTGACTTAAGGGTCACAGTTGAGCCCAGTTGTTGAGTGAGACATTTGTTAAGTGATTTTTTACATTCTTTCTTGACTTGGTTGTTAAATGAATCTTCTCCAGTTAAGTTAGTCACTCGGTTGTTAAGTGAATCCGGCATCCCCACTGACGTTACTTGTCAAAAGGTTGCAAAAGGGGATCATGTGACCCTGGGACACTGCAACCGTCAAATAATATGAGTCAGTTGCCAAGCGGCTGGATTTTGATCATGTGCGACAATGGTCGTAAGTGTGAAAAACGGTCATAAGTCACTTTTTTCAGGGCTGTTGCAAGTTCGAACAGTCACTAAATGAACTGTTTGTAAGTCAAGGACTACCTGTATTAAGAGCATTGTGCATGGTGTACCAGACTGTATCTTTTGCACAGACAGGTATACAAGCAAATTACGACACACATTCTGTGTGCTGAAGTCTAGAATCAAAATGCCTAAAATAGATAAGATAGATAGAATTCTTTATTGACCAAGTGTGATTGGACACACAAGGAATTTGTCTTTGTGCAAATGCTCTTGGTGTACATAAAAGAAAAAATACATTCGTCAAGAGTCAAGAATCATAAGGTCCAACACTTAATAATAGTCATAGGGTACAATAAGCAATCAAACCATACTAGGAAACAGTCAGTATAAATCCTAAGGATACAAGTGACAAAGTTACAGTCATACAGTCACAAGTGGGAGGGGAGTGATGAGAAAATTAATAGTAATAGTAGTGCAGACTTTGTAAATAGTTGGCCAGTGTGGAGGGAATTACTTGTTTAGCAGAGTGATGGCATTCAGGAAGAAAATGTCCTTGTGTCTAGTTGTTCTGGTGTGCAGGGCTCTATAGCGTTGCTTTGAGGGTAGGAGTTGAAACAGTTTATGTCTGGGATGTGAGGGGTCTGTAGATATTTTCACAGCCCTCTTTTTGACTCATGCATTTTATACAGGTCCTCCATGGAAGGCAGGTTGGTAGCCATTATTTTTTCTGCAGTCCTAATTACTCTCTGGAGTCTGTGTCTGTCCTGTTAGATTGCAGAACCAAACCAGACAGTTACAGAGATGCAGATGATAAACTCAATAATTCCTTCCAGGCAAGCTTTTTAATCATAGAATTAATTACCTGTTTCATTTTTGGATATTTTTGCCTACGTTTCTGCACAAGCAGCCCCTGTTGCTGCTGTCTTTCTTCACCACCACTCCCCCTACAAAAATCTCATGTTTAAATCTGAAAACACTCTTCTGTATCGGGGCAACCTATAAGCATAAAGATTGAGGCATTGCATATTTCTGGCCTGCCGTTTTCAAGTTCGATGCCAAATTTTTAACCAGCTTGTGAGCCATCTCTGCCACTAAAATACTTCCTTCATAAAGAAGCTTTGAATTTATCTTTATTTTTTCCCCCACTTCTGCACTTCTAGGTAATTGATGTCCTTCATCCTGGAAAAGCCACTGTACCCAAAACAGAAATCCGCGAGAAGTTGGCGAAAATGTATAAGACAACACCAGATGTCATTTTTGTCTTCGGCTTCCGGACCCATTTTGGTGGTGGGAAAACCACCGGCTTTGGCATGATCTACGATTCTCTAGACTACGCAAAGAAAAATGAACCAAAGCATAGACTGGCCAGGGTAGGTTGTTTTTAATCTTTTCTTTTTCTTGGAATATGGACTGTGTTAGGCTGGAAGGCTAAATATCTATTCTGGTTACGTAGCAGTTGATGAAGTTTGGAGTTTCTCTCAGAGTTCCGTTTTCAGTGGTTAATTAAATGTCAATTAAAATGGTTAAAATGCAGTATTGCAGGCTGACTCTGCCTACTGCCAGCAGTTCGATCCTGACCGGCTCAAGGTTGATTCGGCCTTCCATCCTTCCACGGTTGATCAAATGAGGACCCAGATTGTTGGGGGCAACAGGCTGACTCAGTAAAACCACTCAGGGCTGTAAAGCACTGTGAAGCAGTATATAAGTGTAAGGGATATTGCTATTGCTATTTACTCAGCTTTCCATCCTTCTGAGGTGGGTAAAATGAGGACCCAGGTTGGGGACAAGAGGCTGAATCTGCAAACCACTTAGGGCTGTAAAGCACTGTGAAGTGGTATATAAGTCTATTGCTATCTATCATGCATCAGTGATCCATTATCCATCCATACATCCACATCTGTCTGTCTATCTATCTATCTGATTATCTATCTATCTATCTATCTATCTATCTATCTATCTATCTATCTATCTATCTATATCTATGGTGGCACAGTGGTTAGAAGGTGATATTGCAAGCTAATTCTGCTGACTGCCAGCAGTTCTATCCTGACCGGCTCAAGGTTGACCCTTCCGTCCTTCCGAGGTCGGTAAAATGAGGACCCAGATTGTTGGGGGGCAAGAGGCTGACTCTGTAAACCACTTAGAGAGGGCTGTAAAGTATTATGAAGCGCTATATAAGTCTACTAATGCCATTTATAGAATTTATAAGGTAACTCTCAGCTTCTTACAGTTACATCTAAGTTAATACATAAAAAAGTTAAAATCATATGTTAAAACCCAAGGACCCCATGGAGAGGACGGGGGCGGAGTGGGGAGGGAGGTGGCATCTGTTATTACTCAGTCAACTCCTTCTATTGCGCTGATCCCCCACTGGGGCAGAGCCACAACTTTAGACCCTTATGGAAAGATAGGAGGGTTGGGGGCCAACCTCACATATGTTCTAGAGGGCAGGGACCACAGCAGAGAATCTCCCTCCTTCTGGACCTCGTCAGCCGGGATAATCAGACGGACGGGACCCACAGCGTGCCGCCTCCGCTGACATGAATCGGACGGATCAGTGGGGCGAGAAGGTCCCAGGCCATAAAGGGCTTTCAAGGGGATCAGAAACCCCTTGAATTGCACCCTTGAAGCAGACTGGTAACCAGTTTAGCTGGCGGAGCAGTGGTCTCCAATGGGCCAATCTTAGAGCCCCCCCCCCGCTCAAAAAACTACCCACGATGCCACACTCTGCAGCAGTCGTAGCTCCCGAAGGCTCTCCAAGGGTAGCCCCAGATAGAACGCATAAGAGTAGCCCGCTCGTGAGGTGACCAGGCACCGAACCTCCTGGAAATGTTGGCGGGAGGTTCATTCTCATTGTCTTCCCCAGCATGGCTTGTACGAAAAGAAAAAGACGTCTAGGAAACAACGGAAAGAGCGTAAGAACAGGATGAAGAAAGTCCGAGGAACGGCGAAAGCCAACGTGGGCGCCGGCAAGAAGGTAAGGGCATCGCCCTGAAAAATTAGACATGCCGATCAGACGCCACAATTGTTGCTGCTTTACTTGTTTCATTGACAAAAGGACTCTCTTTTTTTTCCCCCCCCTCCCATACCAATTTCCATCTTTCACCAATGGCTCACAGAAGGTAATTCCGAGCTCATTCGCTTTGTTTTTGGTTTTTGTAGCTAACAAAGTGAAATGGTAAAAGGACGCGACATTTAGAATTTCCTTAGAAACCTAGAATTTTTAGAGCATGTCTCTCTCTTTCTCTCTCTTCCCCCCTCCCCCCATTTTTTCTCGCATCGCATCTAGCGTCCTCTTTAGCTTACCTTGTCAAAATCCTGCTTTGATTTTAGATTATTATTATTATTTTTAGAATTGAGAAATAATTCCTTCTGGCCGGTGGTTGGCAGGTGTCAAACCTGAAATGCTCATTAACTGTCATTTAACAAGATTGGAAATTACAAGTTGGGCTTCCGAAGAGAAAAGAGTTACAGGCTTTTAACAGACTTTAAAACTGGCTCTTAAGGAGAGATACACAAATTGTATATCATTTTATCAACGACGTAATGTTTAGATTCCGGCATGGCCTATTTAGGATTCGAACACCCTGGGCCAGTTATATTTTGTGTGTGGAACTCCTTTCAAAGGCTGTGGTTTTTCAAGCTTTTCATTCAGCCAGGTTGTGATGCTTTAAATGAATCCTTCCCAGTTAATAACTGTTTGCTTTCACTTCTCTTTTCTACTTCCTTGGATTTCTTCTTAATCAGAAATGAGGTGTTTGGTAGGTATAGAGAAATAAGCATGGTTGTGGTTGCATGAGCTGAGTTTTCCTCACATGCCTTTCTGATGCTTTCTTCTTGGTTTTTCGTTTTGAAGCCAAGTTTCTGTGTTTTGTGCATATTTATTAATTTAGTGTACATTTTGTTTATTAATTTAGTATGCTGCCCATCTCACTCTGCAAAGCACCTCTGATACAGAATAGGATAGGGAACAGAATAAGAATAGAATAGAATAGAATAGAATAGATATTGGAATGAAGAGTAAAGGAGAATAGAATTCTTTATTGGCCAAGTGTGATTTGACACACAAGGAATTTGTCTTGGTTCAAATGCTGTCAGTGTACATAAAAGAAAAGATACATTCATCAAGATTCATCAGGTACAACACTTAATGATAGTCATAGGGTACAATAAGCACTCAAATCATACTAAGAAACAGTCAATAAAAATCGTAAGGATACAAACAACAAAGTTGCAGGCATACAGTCACAAGTGGGAGGGGATGGGTGTTAAGGAGTGATGAGAAGATTAATAGTAATAATAATGCAGACTTTGTAAATAGTTGGAAAGTGTTGAGGAAATTATTTGTTTAGCAGAGTGGAAAAAACTGTTCCCAAATATAGTTCCAGGTACATGTGCTACACATAAGTTGTTCTTATAGCTTGTTCCTATGTTCATATTTATTTCATAGTTAGGTTGAACTATATTACTAAGGTTCTGTAGAAATATCCAGAAGATCCCTTTTGAGCTAGTTATAATTAAAAGGGTTGGGAAAACTCTCTAGATTTCTCTCCTTCTCATAGAATGGAAAGAAAATTCCCATCGTTTTGCTTGTAAGTTACAGGTAAAGATCAATAAAGGTAACTTTGGGGGAGCACATTGTATCAGTTAAAGGGATGTTTGGTGAGCTTCCCGCTTTTATTCTCTCAGTGTTTAATTCCAAGAACAGCAGCTTCTCTTGCTATATAAACTAGAAGACAAGAACACATTGTGGATATATTGTGCTATGTAGGCCTTGTATCTCCCTACCTTAATTTGGCTTACTTGCCTGAAATTGGAGGAGTTTATAGATTGGATTTGTTACGGCCATTCAGTATGCATCAAATTGTGGCTGCCTCTATTAGTCACTTGAAGCAAATCTGTTGCAAATTGGCTATCACATGTTCTATGTCTAATTTCTGTTCCTTAACATACCACAAAACCCTTGATTGATTTACTGGACTCCAGTTTAGTGGCCGGGATCCATTCACAGCTTTACACACGCATAATGCTATTTTTGCATGTATAACATTCATTTTCGGTTTAGCAAGTATCCCTCTAGCAGTCAATTAAAACCAAGGTTTTATTCCACTAGAGTGCTAATCCAGGTTTAGCAGAGCTCTCTGACATCTCACCTGTTACAGTTGACTTATACAGTAAAAAAAATACTATATTTCTTTCCCCCTCCCTTGTGTTGTAAAAATAACTTAGCTGCGGGAATTTGTTTTTCAAACATTTAACTCTAAAAGCAATCATTGTCAATGATTAAATTACATGCTTTTTGTTACCTTCAAAATTCCATTGCATCTTTGCTTTTTTCCCTATCTACTTCTATTTTGCCACGTTCCCGTGGTCCTCTGTGCCCCAAACAGAATCTAACATGATCCTTAGAAATTGAACAATGTTTCAGCTGAATCTTTAACCTCCTGAGACAGCTAAGGTCTTTAGCAAAGCTGTTTCCTTTGGAAATGGTTAGTAACCAGTGATAAAACAGCCATACTGGTTGGATTATTTGAAGCAAGTTTTATATCTTGTATGTTTAAAGATGTACTGACAAGTTTTATTTCTTTTCTTTTCTTGCAGTGAGCCAATCAGGGAAGCAAAGAGGTACAGTAGTTTGAATTATGTTATTCAACAACCTGCATACCCACAGCCTGTTTCCTACCTGCGTGGGGAGAGATTTTCTTTTACAGTCTAATACCTTGCATTCTTTTAATTTAAGCTTCTTCTTCTTCCAACATTTCTGGATGTAGTAAATTTTATAGTTAAGGATTAGCTGAGACCAGTCGTTTAATGTGGAATTTAGCTAATCCAGACTTATGAGCAAGGAGCTCCCCCAAACAAAATTAGAAAGTTCTGCAGAATCTCTCTTCACACCTTGGTTACAAATAATTAGGGACTCCTTAACAATAACATTTTGGATGCTTTATAAGCTCTGGGGCTGATATTATTTCGAGCCATTGCAAGCAGAAGAGGTTTGGGAATCTTAGAGATTCTCGCATGCTTTCAGTTAGCTGCTCTTGTTTTAGCACTGTTGCAATTAGAAGCTCACTACTCAAGTTGGTCAGTCAGTACATTTAGATAAATGCAGCCTGAGTCCCAATTCTGGGTTGTAATTGGTGGGAGGAACTGCATGCATCTTACTCAGATTTATAATTTGCTGCCTAATGTTAAAACCTGACTTTATTTTCTTTTTTTACCTATAGGAAAACTAAAATAGCCCGTGCCTATGGAGGTTATACTGAAGTCAGTTCTATGAATAAATTTCTATGAAAATCAAAACTGCTTAATGGGTGTTCCTGTCCTGAGGAATTGGGACTGCTCAGATTTGCACACAGTATCAAAAAGAGAAAAAAACAAACTTGATTCACTCAGGTGTGAGAAGATGAAGTATAATCTAAAATAGCACTGTTTAAAATTAAGTGTGTTTGTAAAAGAGAAGCCATGATCAACTCAAATAAGAATGTGAAAATCAATCCTTACATTGGCAAACAAGATCCTGAGGTGTACTGAGCATTAATTCCAGGAGCAGCAATCGGAGGGGAGGGGAGAAGAGCAGAATGCAGAATAGAGAAATGGAGTAGAATAGAATAGAGAAGTAGAATAGAATAGAACAGAATAGGGGAATGGAATGGAATGCAGAATAGAATAGAATGCAGAATAAAATTGAATATTGTCATTTTAAATATACACTAATCAGCATACATTAAAATGACATTTTGTTGCATTCAACTATCAAAAGATAACCATTATGCGCACACACACACACACACACACACACCATTGGGGATTATAGTTGAACAATTTTGTCAGTGTCTAAATTTCTTCCTCCTTTGTATGTTTCCTTTTGGCCTTGGTGGGACCTCTGATGCAGAGGCAGCAAAGCATAGCTGGTAGAATTCCTCCGCTGGAGTCTAGCTCTTGCTCCCAAGTATTCCTGGATCTCCAAAGAGATATTCCTCCAGTTCTGCATTGTCCTATCGTCCCAAGTCGTGCTGTGCTGTGTGCACTAATATCACATCCTTCATAGTTGCTTTCTGACAGTCCCACCCTTATGCTCTCTTGGCTAGTTTGGACTCTCAAAAGTCTGAAAGCAGCGTTTGCCATGTTGCAGTCTCATCAAAACCCAACTGGAAGGCAGAACCAGGTGTCCAAGGAAATTCTGCAAGAATTAACCTTTCAGTTTCTTCTCAATTTTGTCAGTTTGCAGCACACCTGACCAGCACACAAGTAAATAATTCAGCAGGATTCATTTTACATAAGAAACTTCTTTATGTACAATACCGTACAGCAGCAACCAGCATACAAAATCAGGAGCACAGAAACAGAAGTAATATTCACAGAAGTAAGTCATTTCAGAGGAGAGAGGCATTTCATAGGAGGGAATTTCAAAGGAGGCACACTAACTCTTATATACAGTCCAATAAATCTAAGCCACGCCCAGGCTCCAAACTGTCACGTATGGCCCCATACATCAGATATGTTTCGCTTTCCAAACAGTCCCCATTGGCTGACCTTTTACTACAATCCAAACAGTCCTCATTGGCTGACCTGTTACCATGTGTCAGGGTTCCAATGGATGCCCTAATTCATGAGCCTCGAGCCAAGTTTCAAAAGAAATCCAATTTATTAGGAGCAACATGTCTGCCTGGCTCTGCCCTACGTAATTTACTGCCCATCTATGACCCTGTTTCCTCCCTCCTCCCACGATGTGTCATAAATCACATTCTCCAACGAAGCACGACTCTCCGGCTAGCTCTGGTAACCTGGGACACAATCTGGAGAAAAATATGAGTGGAATGTGCTTCTGGTCATAGCAACTGAATTCGATCAGATCTTCCTACCTTATGGCAATTCGAGAGCAAGCCAAGAGTCCTTTACGAGTTGACACCATGTCTAATCCAAACAGTCCCCATTGGCTGACCTGTTACCATGTCTTCCAGATCGTAATTACTTATATACTGACACATTTGTCTCAGGGTTTCCAAGAATTCCCCATGAATGGTGGCTTTCAAGCAATTTGAGAAAGCCTGATATTCCTCAGTGAAGGTAGAGACACCTTGAAGAATTAATCCAGGCACTTCTGAACTTCCTTCCACACGAAGAGTGAACGGTGTCCTGCGTTATGCGAGGTACCAGGAACCATCCGGTGCTAACATGAATTATGGAAAATAGCGTTGCCCTTCCCTCCTCCCCTAATTCTGCAATTTGGTTTCTTGGGGATTCTTGGTGGCTCATTGATTATAGATTTTTGGGTCCTTGGAAAAAAAACAAAATTTCTAAAACTTGGGAGCATGCAAGAATTCTTTTATTCTTGAAATAAAAACATCGATGACTTGAAACTTTCCAGTTGGGTTTTTTTTTTTTTTTTCATTAGCTGCCAGAGCCCTCACTTCTAGCAACTTTGAAAATTGCTTTTTGGGTTGATTTCAATTCTGACCCGGTAATGATGCCTCTGGGGCCTAATTAACAGGGAAATCGCTTTGCAATGCGTTGTCTCTGAAACTCTGGGTTAACAAATTAACTTTTTGCATTGGGGTAGCATTCTTGCTGTTGAGAGAAGGATGGAGGGGGAGGGGGAAAAAAAAGCTAAATTGGTACTTTTTAAAAAGAAAAAAACATTTCCTGTTTGCCCTATTGGTCTCTGCTTGTATATTAAATTTTGAGAAAGCTGACAAACCATTTTTGGAGGCAGACTGATAGAAAGGGAGGCATTTAGCTCCTGATAAAAACAATAAAATAGATCAAGCTAAGGTTTTGTGTGTGTGTGTGTTTTTAAAAAAGCTTCTTTTGTGTCCTTGTTTCATTATTCTGCTATGACCTAGGCCAAAGTAAGAAAATATCTACCTCCCCCCCATTCTCTACGGCAGGGGTCCCCAACCTTATGTCTGCAGCCCAGTGCTGCGTCGCAAAACCTGTTTGGAACTAGGTTGCAAATGTGGGTGGCGAGAGCGTGGGTGTGCAAAGGTGCATTTGTGATAGCGGCGCGCATGCGCACACAAAACCATCCCCTGCCACCACTGGTCTGCTGAGCCAGAAAGTTCTAGAGTGATTTTGATCCATCAGACTTTTGTAACAAGTGAGAGGCAGCTTTGTCTAGTGGTTAAGGCTCCCAGCTAGAAACCAGGAGACTTCAGTTCTGGTCTTTAGGTGTGAAACTGTTCTGACCTTGGCTTCCCCCAAAAGCACTAAGCAGACTCTTTGTCCCGCCAAAACCTCTTTTATTAAACGAAGGTGAATTTCTTGCATTCACCTTCAGCCAAAGGCCTGGCAAACGGTCTTTCAGGGGTGTAATGAGGAGCACAGACCTTACCTAGCCCGGAGAGCTGCCAAGTAACTTCCCAAATGCAGTGCTGACAAGGAAGGGCTCAGCACGGAGTCTCTGAGATGCACAAAACAGACCTTCACACTGCTGTAACCAACAGGCCCTCCCCTTTTGCTCCTCTTTTAATCCCTATGGGAGGGGCCATTCACCGTCCACCTGTGACCTTACTCCCACGTCGACCCTTAGTTTGTAATTGTTCTTTTCTTTTGGCAGCTCTGTGCATGCGCAGGCTGGGAACTGGCTCCAGCTGCTCCCCTGCCTCACTGCTGTCCAACTCTGAAGGCAGCTGATAACTGCCAGCCTGCCCTGGCTCCATCTCTGCCTCCGAGGCAGAACCCTCATCCTAGCCTTCCTTAGCTTCTAGGACTGGCCCAGGTTCCTCCCCAACCTCACTGTCCAACTCTGCCGCCAGTTCTGCTAACCGCCGTTAGGCCACAACAGAAACCTGGCTCTCTGCCCATAACAGGCTCAGACGACAAGCCGCTGGAAGAATTCCTATTGCAACCAACAGATCAAATTTGGTTGATCCAAACAATACACTCAAACGTGTGAACCTTGGGCCTCTAGGAAAAACACAGGAAGAAAAGACTTGTAAAGCATCATAAAGCTTTTGGCTATTTCCAGTAACTAGAACATTGAATAACAGTTGGAAGGGACCTTGGAGGTCTTCTAGTCCAGCCCTCTGCTTCAACAGGAGACCCTAGGCCATCTCACCACCGAACTGCAGCTTTGTTTATATTAAAACAAAATCAGATACCGGCTCGATAAATGCCCTCAGTTTACAGTTCTTTAGAAATACTGAGGCAATACTCTGTTTTGTTTTGTTTTTTAAAAAAAGCTCTCATAAGCACCAGCCTTTTATAACCTGCTTTTTGTTCTTTTTTAAAAAAATAACACTGTGTTTTGCAAGCTATATGCCATGAGGATATGACGGGGAGGCCCTTTTCCTATGAGAGCTGAAGCAATTGCATTGATGAAGGCTTTTAATGTTATGCTTACAGCATCCTGAAGACACCTTCCCATCTGCTGACCTTGTTCCATCCATCATCAAGACAGGTTGCAAGCGTAATTATGCTTCTTTCTGCTTTCTTTCCAAGGCCTGGCCTCCGGATGCCAATATATGGTTGTCCTTTTGTGTTTCACTATTTTTTTTTAAATTCGATTGTCTTTGTTTAAACTATTGCTATTAGAGGAGGTGTATGAAGAAGAAAAATCCAGGTTCCAAGCCGGGAATAAAATGGAGGTTGATTGGAAAGAAAGATTCTGTTTATTGATGAGCAGAACTAACACACACACACACACACAGCATGCGGTTCTGGGACAGCTGACAAAATGGAGTTGAGAGTGGGTGGGGTTTTTTTTATCCCTTTTTGATTCTTATGGGGTCATGTAGAGGTCATGGCTGGCTCTATAGGCAAAAGGGGAAATGCAAATCCTAGGTGTTCATCTGAGCTAATCTTGTCAACCTTTGGTTTGCCTAATTGTGTTGCTTATCTGGAGTCTCTGTCTGACTCAGTGTTTCTGAATGGATTACCAAATCTGCATTTCTAAAAGCTGGCCTCCTCAGTTTCTGCTTGGGGCAGGGAAACTGGCGGTAGTTTCTGCCTCCTTTAAATTTTTCCCCCATTTCTTCTTTAGGGGAAATATTCTATCCTGTGTTTTGAATATCCCCCAAAATATTTCATTCTCTAGGAAGGTGGGTGGGTGCTGATTTTCTACAGAGGCGCCCTCGTAAACAAAGGCTGTTGGTATTCCTCTGGTTGATCTGCAGCAAGCTTCGTTGGTGGTTTTTGTATTTTCACACATGGGTTGTTGTTTCTTTCCCCCTGGTCTGCTAGAAATTACACCGCTTTTTCAAACCAGCATGTGGTAGAAGTGTTTGCCGAGATGTTTCAAGGAGGGGAAAAAAAGTAAAAGACATCACCAACCTGTGTTCCAGTTCAACTTCTTGTGTGTG